CAGATTCCTTGTCCACAATGCTCTGTCGGGTCGGAGTGAGGGGGGGCCTTGGGGTTGGAGACTCAACCTTTGGGAGAAGAATTACCTATTTAAATACACAAATTCAACCTTCAATTATCTATGCATGAACAATTTCAATATAATCCTGCCTTAATATACTTTAAAGTACTTATTTAAAAAAAAAAACATTGGGCATTATCTCAATCGCGCAATGCGCGTAAAAAACTAGTATATATATATATATATATATATATATATATATATATATATATATATATATATCCTTAATATATATAACAAATTTTATGAAAATAATAATAATAATAATAATATTATTATTATTATTATTATTATTATTATTATTGGTGAATTCTATAATCCCAAGTAGTTTGTATTTTAATTACATTTCTGATTTCTGTGACTGTCCCCGATGGAAGGTCACAAATTCAAATCATAGGGTAAAAAAACATCCCCAAACAACCAAGTGAAAACAATAGTTCTTGGTCATTGGAAATAGAAATGTTTGAAAATAAAATAAAAAATTAAGGTTGGAACCTTGGAGGTCGTATTTCAACTATTTATATGAGTATCTATAAAAGTTATGAAACGTACCATAAAATTTGATAAGAATGGATGAAGATTTTGTCTGATTTATACATGGAGAAAAAGTCCGTAGGGAAAGTTGAAAAGTTTAGGGGTCGTTTACTTCATTTCTCTGTTTTTTCATTTCCAGTTTTCCATTTCTCCATTTTTCCAGTTTTCTTTCTCCATTCTTCCAGTTTTCCATTTCTCCAATTTTATAATTTTCATTCCCTATTCCTCCAGTTTTTTATTTCTCTAATTTTCAAATTTCATTAAATAAAATCATTCCATATGGGCCATATAATTTTGTACATTTATACAACAAAGATAATAATAATAATAATAATAATAATAATAATAATAATAATAATAATAATAATAATAATAATAATAATAATAATAATAATAATAACAATAATAATATAATCTACTATCTACTATACTAATAAGAGCCCAAGAGAGTTAGGCCTATAATGGGTAGAAAAAATGGCGGTCACAGATTTTAATCAAATGAATGGTTCAGATTGATTAAAAGATTGATCAGATTTAAATTTTACACTAAAATTTCCTAAAATACCCACACACCGTTACTAATTCTGTTAAAATTTTAAGAATTGCCGTTAGTTCACCGTTAACTTACTCATTGATTTCTCCCTGCGATTTAGGGTTCCGGCGTTGGCTCTCCCTGTGTTCTAGGGTTCCGGCGTTCCTAGGGTTTAGACTTTCGTTTTCCGACTGAACATCATTCGTGCGAGGATGAATCTACGAGAGCTTGTTGCATCAACGGCAGACATGAACCTGGAGGATGATGCGGATGGAGTGCGGTTTGAGGAGGAGATGTTCGAAGGTCCGGCGCAGCCCCCTATGCGAACAACGTGGACGTTGATCGGGAAGTTCTTGACCGATCGAATTCTCAAGGTTGAGGTGATGAAGAGGGTCATGGCAGCAGCTTGGCGGCCTCTCATGGGAATAGAGATAACAGATGTGCTCCCGAATCTGTATCTCTTTACGTTTTTTGACGAAGTCGATATGCGCCGGGTGTTGGAGGAGGGGCCATGGGCGTTCAAAAACACAACACTTATTTGTCAAATTCTCGAGGATGGAGTCGATCCAACGCAAGTGGTGTTGAACACTGTGGATTTCTGGATACAGGTCTACGATATTCCGTTGGGTTATCGAACGGTGAAGGTGTTAGAACGGATTGGTGATTTTGCGGGGGTGTTTAAACGGTATGATGAGCGGAACTTTGAGAGGTCATGGACCTCGTTTTACCGGATACGCATAACGCATGATGTGACGGCTCCGTTAAAACGACGTATGAAGATGATTATGCGAGATGGGACATGGACTTGGATAAATTTCAAGTACGAGCGCCTGCATATGTTCTGTTTCTTCTGTGGAATAATGGGACACACTGATAAGTTTTGTTTAGCGGCTCGACGTTCTTTGTTAACCCCGGATCAGTACATGTTTGCTGCGACATTGAGGGCGGGGGGTAATAGTCCAGCCAAGCACATTGGGGATAAATGGTTCAAACTAGGACAAGAAAGGAGAAAAGAAATTGGCTTTGGGATGGGGGGTTACGGGCAGAATGGTGGGACAGTAGGGAGGGAGGAGTTGACCGGGTTAGGGGGCCGGGCCGTGGAAGTTGGGGTGATGGGAAAGGGTGGGATGGGGCAGTCGGAAAGTGCAAGGGAGAGGGAGGTGGCTGGGGAGGGTGAGGGGGTGAGAGTGGATCCAAAAAGACGGAGAACGGATGGTGAGGCTGGGAGGGGAGTTGTCGTGGGTGTGGGTGTGGAATCGGATGGTCCGAGCTCGGTACCATCGGATGATGCGGGATGTGGGGTAGGCCGAGGAGGTGAGGGAGTTGTGGAGGAGGATATAACGATGACAGACGTACAAAAAAACTTGCGAATGGCGGGTGCTGCAGTGCAGACCCGCCCATCCCAATGAGCACTCTGAGCTGGAACTGCCGTGGCTTGGGTAATCCACGGACAGTTCGGAAAATTGAGGACATGGTGTCCCGTAAGAAACCCGACTTTGTATTTTTGATTGAGACCAAGGTTAACCGGGATCATGCAGAACGACTTCGGGTAAAACTTGGTTTTGATGGTCTTTTGAATGTGGATAATTCTGGATTGAGTGGTGGCTTGGCATTATTATGGAGGGCGAATGATACAGCAACTGTGATAGGTTATTCTGATAATCATATTGACGTGGAAGTGAGTATGCCGGGATTTGATAAATGGAGGATGACTGGGTTCTATGGCTTCTCAAAACGACCACAGAGAAGGGAGTCATGGGATCTTATTCGTTCGTTGGCAGGAAAGTCGGATCTGCCATGGGTAATCATTGGAGATTTTAATGATCTCTTATACCAGTGTGAGAAACGAGGATGGAATCCTCATCCGGACAGCTTGTTGAGGGGTTTTGGAGAGGCAATTGAGGAGTGTGGCTTGACACAATTACCGATGTCTGGGTATCCCTTTACTTGGGAAAAAGGGAAGGGAACTCCAAACTGGATCGAGGAAAGGTTGGATAAGGTTTTGGCCACGCAAGATTGGAGAGAGCTGGTAACCGATGCAAGTGTGCAGAATATTTTAACTAGAAAGTCAGATCACTCGGCTCTTTTCCTTGGGATTCTGAATCTTCGGGAAAGGAGGGGGGGTCTGAGAAGAGGTTTTAGATTTGAGATGGCATGGTTACATGATGAAGGATGTCGAGCGGTGGTAGAAAAATCGTGGGACGAAGGAAGAGGTAGGGGATTGCAGGAATGTGTCACATTGTGTGGTAACCGGTTAACGCGCTGGGGTGGAGACCGATTCCACAAGTTTGGTGAAAAAATATTGTGCTTACGGAAGGAACAGTTACGCCTCAGAGGATGTACAGATCCAGTATCCCTAGCTGAATTCCAGAGATTAGAAGAGTGTTTGACACGTGTTGAGTTGCAGGAGGATACTTATTGGAGGCAGAGGGCCAAGCAGCACTAGCTCAAGGATGCGGATGCAAACACCAGGTTTTATCACAGGTATGCTTCTAATCGAAAGAAAAAGAATTCTATTGCTAAAATAACGAATGATAGTGGGGATTGGATTGAGGGAGATGCCATGAGAAATATCATCTTGGATTACTATCGAGGCATTTTTAAATCGAGCTCTCCTACAATTAATGATGAATTCTTTGCGACTATACAACCGCGTGTAACGCCAGTACAGAATGAGGGGTTATTGCGCCCTTTTGAAGTAAGTGAGGTAAAATCTGCATTATTCTCAATGTATCCTGATAAAGCACCAGGACCGGACGGGATGAATCCAGGATTCTATCAGCATTTCTGGGATGTGGTGGGAACTGATGTCTCTTCGTATATTATGAATTGCTTGAATACTGGCTCATTTCCGAGTAAGCTGAATGAGACGAATATTATTTTAATCCCGAAGAAGAAAAACCCGGAGATGGTTTCTGATTATAGGCCAATTGCTTTAAGCAATGTGGTCTACAGGATTATGGCTAAAGTTATTACTGCCAGAATGAAACCATTAATGGAGAATATCATATCTGAATCCCAAAGTGCGTTTATCTCTGAGAGATTAATTACGGATAACATACTGATAGCTGCGGAGGTGGGACATTACCTAAACAGGAAACAATGTGGTTTAGCAGGTTGGGGGGCTCTAAAACTCGACATGGCGAAAGCCTATGACCGTATGGAATGGCCCTTTTTGGAAAGCATGTTAATGGCGCTGGGATTTGATGACAGATGGGTGAGACTACTGATGATGTGTGTGACCACTGTGTCTTATAACGTATTAATTAATGGTTCACAGACTGAACAAATTACTCCGACTCGGGGTTTACGGCAAGGTGATCCCCTATCGCCCTATTTGTTTATCATTTGTGCTGAAGGGCTTTCACTATTACTACAACAAGCGCAGGCGAAGGGGGAGATACATGGATGTAGAGTTGCTAGAGGGGCACCTTCTATTACCCATCTATTTTTTGCTGATGATAGCTTGCTTTTTTTCAAAGCAAATGCCCAAGAAGCAGGTGTGATTAAAAGTTGTCTGAAAAAATATGAAAAAATGTCTGGTCAAGCTGTCAACTATCACAAATCGAGTACTTGTTATAGTAAGAACACAGGAGATGAAACGCGGGATGAGGTGGCCAATATATTGGGGGTGGTGCAGGCACAGAATTTTGGAAAGTACTTAGGGCTCCCATCATTTGTGGGCAGAAACAGAAGGGCAGCTTTTGCTTATATTGAGGATAAGATAAGATAGCGGATTAGTTCGTGGAATAAAAAACTCTTGTCACAAGCAGGGAAAGAAGTCCTATTGAAAAGTGTGGCTCAATCTATGCCTACCTTCTCAATGAGTGTCTTTTTGCTACCGACCTCTCTTTGCGCTGCCATTGAGCGAACCATGAATCGATATTGGTGGAGGTCGAATAATGATCAGGGTATTCACTGGAAAGCTTGGGATAAGTTATGTATTCCAAAGAAATATGGAGGATTGGGGTTTAAAGAATTGAGAGCGTTTAACCTAGCTATGCTTGGAAAACAAGGATGGCGTTTCCTGACACAGCCACAATCATTAGTTTCAAGAGTTTATAAAGCCAGGTATTATCCCACTAATTCTTTATATGATGCATGTTTGGGAATTAACCCGAGCTTTTGTTGGAGGAGTATTTTGGCAGCACAGGAATTGATTTGTGGGGGAGTTAGGAGGAGAATTGGAAATGGCCAATCAACATTGATATGGGATCATCCATGGTTGCATGATGGGTTACAACCGAAGATATTAACAGAAAAACCACCCCAATTGGCACAGGCGAAAGTAGTGGGTCTGATGGATCAACAGACACGAACCTGGGATAAAGATATTCTAACAGATATTTTCATACCTGAGGATATTGAACGAATTCTGAAAATACCTGTGTCACCAGATTATGAGGATTTGTGGTACTGGTATGGGGATCCAAGAGGTGAATATTCTGTTAAGAATGGATACAGAACAGTAGTTGGAGAATATAGCCAACAGGTTGTGACATTTGATAAATGGCAAAAGTTATGGAAGCTTAAAATCCCACCCAGGTGGAAAACATTTTTATGGAGAGCTCTAAATGATATTTTGCCCACTACAAAGAACCTACTTATAAAGAGGGTTGATATTGACCCAACATGTGCTATGTGTGGAATTGAACATGAAGATGTTGTGCACTCCTTGATCAAATGTACCTACACGGCAGCCATTTGGACACAATCCCACCTTCCAATCCCCAATAATGTTATAAATATTTTTGGAGATTGGTTTAATGATTTGATGAATGTTTTAGATGATGACGGGATTATTTATGCAGTTGCAATACTCTATTATATTTGGCGCACAAGGAATGGAGCTGTGTGGGATGCGTACTTACCCAGGCCTCGGAAAGTGGTTGTGATGGCGGCATCAGCTCTCAATGCTTGGAAGGCGGTTCACCACCGAACACCAACTCAGCCGATCCATGCTACCACGGTAGACCACACCATAGCAGTAACAACCGGTGCGGACGTGCCTATAGCCACGGCGTTACATACGGCTGCCACGCCCATCGTCACAGTACATCGACCGCAACTCTCTACGACATACACCGCGCGCAATGCTGTTCACGGCATGAGGGGAAAATGCTACTTCGATGCGGCTTACGATCCACAGACGAACAGGACAAGAATGGGAGCAATTATCCTAGACGGCCAAGGGAGTTATATTGCAGCCATGGCTACTACAGTGATAGATTGTTTTTCAGCCCTAATGGCGGAGGCTGTTGCATGCAAGGAAGTATTGTCATGGTTGAGGAGTCGCGAAATAAACTCTATCGAGCTATACACGGATTGTTTGGTGCTTCAACAATGCCTGTCTTCTACGACACACTCGTCACGGGATTACTTGGGCTATGCCATTGATAGTTGCAGGACTAGTTTATCGACATTTGATTACTGTTTACTTCATTACATTCCTAGAGTAGATAATTATTTAGCTCATACATTAGCATCTACTACATTTACTGACTCGAATCCTATGTACTGGGATTCTGCTCCTCCAGCTTCTATTTCTGCATACTTCGAATAAAATGCCGTACAGGCTCTTTTCAAAAAAAAACTTACTCATTGATTTCAATAAAAAAAAAAAAGGTCTTAGGTTCGAACCTCATCCCAATCAAAGTTGGCATAATTAGTACTCTATTTTACTCTTATTAAATTATATAAATAATAATTTAGTAGTTACAACAAAAAATAATACATATGCATTTCTTTAATTTAGAATTATGTGTTCACAATGTCTTTATTCAAAAAAAAAAAAATTATTCATTATCAATAAATTAAATAAGATAAATAATTTTATTAGTTATATTGTCTTTATTTTTCTTCAATATAAAAATTCTTTATATTCAAATTTATTAATTGATTATATTCGCTACATTGTCCTTACAATGTCTTTATTCATTGAAAAACAAATTATTAATTATCAATAAATTAATTAAAAGAAATATTTTCATTAGTTATGTTGTCTTTATTTTTCTCAAATGTTAAAAGTTTTAAATTCAAATTCATCAATTGATTATATTCACTACATTATCTATTATCTTTTTTGTGCACTATTTTTCTAATTAAATATCAAAGTTATAACATAAAATAATGCTATATATTTATTTACCAAGTATTTTATTAATACCATGAAAAAATTAAAAAAATATAATTAATAAAGCCAACCATATTAACTACTTGAGAGATTTTGTGACAAAGAGAGTATTCAAATCACACAACAAATTGAAGTGAGAACTACCTCGCAATGTCCTTGTTTGACAATCAGCAGTTAGCGATTAACATTAGCGGATTTGACCAGCGAATTTATTTAATTATTAACATTGGGTAGAAAAAATGACCGCCAAATTATTAAATCAAATGAATGGTTCATATTGTTCAGGTTTTAATTTTTTTTCTTTTAAGATTTTCTAATTTATCCTTAATTATATGATTATCCATTTAACTTTTCCGTTAATTCACCGTTAGTCTAATTCTAATATTAAAGTCTAATATAGAATTATAACTACACCATTAATCTAATTCTAATATTAAAATCTCAATAGAACTTAACCACAAATCCTAATGTCGGAATCTCCTCAAACAATATTAGTATATATTTCATATTTTATGCCCTAATTTTTATTTGTTCTCCCTTATGTCCCGTATTTGGTTTCAACCATACTTATACAATTATTTTATTGACAATTATAATCAATATTGACTATATTATCTTGAATTTGTAAACTTAGAATTACCTATTTAACATGCACGGGCTTAGCTCAATGGTTTAGTGGGTAGTATTTGGGAGAAGAGACCAAGGTGTGAACCTCAGCGGCGGCAATGCGTGAATTATGTCCAAAGTGGGCGGATTCCTTGTGCGTACCAGCATTTGGCCCTGTCTGCTGAACCATTGAGTCACCGTGATTTACAACTTCCCACAATGCTCTGTCGGGTCGGAGTGTGGGGGGCCCTTGGGGTTGGGGACTCAACCTTTAGGAGAAGAATTACCTATTTAAATACGCAAATTCAACCTTCAATTATCTATGCATGAACAATTTCAATATAATCTTGCCTTAATATACTTTAAAGTAATTATTTTAAAAAAAGCATTGGACATTATACCAATCGCGCAATGCACGTAAAAAAACTAGTAATAATAATAAAGAAGAAGAAGTTGGCTTTGAAAAGAGGGGCCGGGGGCGTTGGTACTAATAATAATAATCTTACTATATAAAATAGTCACACACCTAGGAAACAACAATAGAGCCAAATTCCCGCTCACGAAAAACGACTTTGGTATACCGAAAGTGGGATACGCCTTTCAAAGTATTGATGGTCATTATTTATTTACATATCTATAATCATAATAGGAATTGTATTTTCGAAACGCAATAATGACAGAGTTTCCTTTGCGCAGCATTGAGGTATTCCAATGCCTGGAAACACGAAATAATTAAGACAAAACTGTTAGTATTCCAATGTAATGCCAAATTAAATAGTCAAAGAAACCATTTGTATATTTACATCATATTATATAATTTTAAGCCTCTCTCATATTTTCCCAAAACACAATTCTAGCAGAATGAAGAAACTAACAACTTCTGCAGTCATAGGAAGAAAGAGGAAGCTACAATGTTCTCCAAATCCAGGTATTTCAACCTTCCTAACTGCATAAAGCATCAGATTTAATTCTCATCATGTGCAAATATCTCAACATCTGTGTTTAGAAGAACAGTTTAGGTAAAACATAAAGCAGAAAAATCGGGCAACATAAATTTCATATTATCATATCAGTAATTTCATTCACAGAGAACTATCATAGATGCTTAGAATACAATACGAAATCCATACATAAGTAAGATAGGTACTTATTCCCGGTTTGTCTTCCATATAAATCTTAGCGAGCATAACATGCAAAAACACAATATAGTTTGTATTATGTCATGAATCATTCTAACAGAGATAAAAGACCCATATCTGGGGTGTTATGTCACTTAGCCTGTCTAACAGAGATAATAGAGATGTAAAAGTAAACCTCTGGGAACCCCAAGATTTCAGTCACCGGAATCTGGATAGATGAAGTTTGGTCATCAACTACGTCGATCTGTTCCTTCAAAACAAATATAGTTGGTCAGATCTAAATAATCTACAGAAAACCCCTAAGAACATACCTCCATTGTAGTAATAATTGAAACAAGTTGTTCTAAAAAACTAATCGGAATCCAAGAAAGCTGAATAAAGATAAGTGTTAGCCGCGTAAACTGAGGTTGAAGTTCAGAGAACTCCGAGCTCAGAATTATACCCGTAGAAAGAAGAACGCCCCGACTTTGGAGGAAAATTTCCCAAGCGTAATACTGAAAATCCATGATAGAGTCTCTTAGCATGTCTAACAGAGATAATAGAGATGTAAAAGTAAACCTCTAGGAACCCAAGATTTGAGTCACCGTAATCTGGATCGATGAAGTTTGTTCATTAACTACGTCGATTTGTTCCTTAAAACAAATATAGTTGGTCAGATCTAAATAATCTACAGAAAACCCCTAAAAACATACCCCCATTGAAAATTTTGTTCTAAAAAACCAATCGGAATCCAAGAAAGCTGTAAAAAGTTTTGATGGAGCCGCATGCACTGAGGTTGAAGTTCAGAGAACTCCAACCTTAGAATTAGGGAAGTAGAAGGAAGAACCCCCCAGACTTTGGAGGAAATTTCCAAAGCGTAATACTCAAAATCCACGATAGAGCAAGACAACTGTACAAAGAACCAAGTAAGATGCAGTAGGAGAAAATGAGATTTTTGGTTTTCGTCGCCCAGAATTAGGAGCTCATGAGAAGAATATTCTAGCAGGTTTGGGGGAGATTTGGGGCACTAACCTCATTTAAATATTAATACTCACTAACTAATAATATAATATATATAGTTTTTTTATGCTATATTTTCGGCGAAACATGTGAGAATTCATTATATATATGTATATATAGATATTTATTGATTTATTTATTTATCTATTTATTGTAGTAGAAATACTGAGTTAATGAATTTTTATGTAGTAGAAATTCAATTTATTTGTTAGTAATTAAATAAAATTGTTATTATGTTTTTTTTTATTATTTAAATATGACCATGTACGTATTTGAATTTAATAAAATATATACACTGATGCAGAGGACAAAGAAAATTGTTTGGAAGAGACGGTTATTTGCCAATCTACTACAATTCAAAATTGTTTGTATGGTGTTTTTCAAGCAAATTATTGTACACCTATAAACATTTTATACAATAGTAAGTGTATGGTGTTAATTTTTATTTTAGTACTTTGATTGATTAATTCCATATTTATAGTGAATAATATTTTTATAAGATTTGAAGTATGATTATTTTATATATTTATTTTTTGGAAGATGGGAGTTTAGTCAAGTCGTCAATAAAGAGTAATAATGAGATTGCATCATCAATTAAGATGCAATCGCAAGGTATTTTTGACAAAACAACTCATTCTCAAGAGCTCATGATACAGGTGATAAGTTTTAAGATTACGGAATAAAATTATGTTTACGTAGAGTTAGATAGATAATTATTTTGTATAGAGATTAGCTATTCATGATTATGTATGTTGTTTTATATTTTGAATTTATAAACATGATTAGAATTAGTCTTAAAAAATGTTCTATTAATTACTTCGTACGTTTTTTTTTTATGTAGTTAAGGAAAGACTCATTAAGAAAAGGTCTTTATGTACACCGATGCAAAAGGATGCCCAATCTCAATTAACAATGTATTCAACTATACCTTTGAGTGATATTACAAATGGTATGTATCGATAGTTACAACCATTTATTACAAGTGCCAAATTTGACATTTTTTCACCACTTACTGAAGTTTATTAAAATTCACAGGCACATCAAATGTCGTACCACCAAAAAAAATACATACACGGGCAAGCAGAAGTCGTCAATGCGACCCTCATAGCATGATTCGGACCAAAAGAAATCAAAGTACTTTGAAATATTATATACACAAATATGTAATTCTAATTATACAATTTTAACTATCATTCAAACTAATATAAAATGCTCATATAGATTGTCATTTTATAAAAACCAGCTGAACAAGATATGAACGAGAATATTGAAACAAGTTCGCAAGCTAAGTTCATTCCGATGAATTTATCTCAAGATTTTGATGACGTTTTCCATGTACAAGAAATAGAAGAGGATTGTACTAATGGTAAGGGCCAAATTACTTAATTTTAACTACGATTTCAATTTTTTTTTGGTTTGACATTTGTTTTTGCGAAACTTATTTTATTATATCTTTTTGGATTTTGTAGTTGAATATGCAGATTTAGGTGATCCGGTATACAGTTGTGATCAGTGCGATGCTATTTTTTGGTATGAAGAAAGGGTTAATAAATCGGTTGTATGCAGATCACCAAAGTATTCAGGATGTTGTGCTCAAGGGAAGATTAAGTTACCGTCAATGACAGTCCCTCCCAAAAAATTGCATGACCTGTTCTTTGTTCAGGGTGACAAAAGGACAAATTTTTTAGAACATATTAGGACATATAATAGTATGTTTTGTTTTACTTCAATGGGTGGTAAAGTTGACAAGTCTATAAACCGTGGAAATGCCCCACCAATTTTTAGGATAAATGGTCAAAATTTCCATTTGATCGGAAGCTTATTACCTGCAGATGGTAATCAACCAAAATTTGCCCAGCTGTATATACACGATACTCAAAACGAGGTCAACAACCGTATCAACACATTCAGGTGTTGTTTCAAAAAAACTTACAAGAATTTTTAATTATGCATATGCTCAACTTCAAAGAATAAATTAATAAAATATACATTTTGTGACGTTTTTGTAGGAGTGACGATGGTAAAAACAGAATTCATGATGGTGTTGTTGCAGACATAAAAGAAGTATTAGATGAGCATAATGTGTTAGTTAAATCGTTTCGGATGGCTAAGGGTGAGATTGAGTCTAACCCCCGAGTGGATGTTAAAATGAGACTCATTGGTAAAAGAAGTAGTGATGCAAGAACTTATAACTTACCAACGGCCTTCGAAGTTGCAGCACTAATAGTTGGTGATCTAGATCCAATGTTAGGGCAACGAGATATTTTGGTTGAGTCCAAATGTGGAGAATTGAAGCGTATAAGTGAGTTGAATCCATCTTATTTGCCCTTACAATATCCTGTTTTGTTCCCATACGGTGAGGATGGTTATCGTGAATATATACAGTTCACTGTACCAAAATCAAGTTCTACTCTTGGAAGGCAACGAATATCCCAAAGGGAGTTTTTCTCTTTCCGTATACATGAGAGGGTAGAGGAGGTCAACACAATCTTATATTCGAAGAGGCTGTTGCAACAGTTTTTGGTTGATGCGTACACCATGGTCGAATCCAGTAGACTAACATACATTCGGCAGAATCAAAAGTCATTGAGGTGTGAAGCATATAAAGGGTTATCAGATGCATTGACACGAGGTGAAATTGACCCTAGCACTCAAGGTAGACGAATTGTCTTGCCGTCAAGCTTCACAGGGGGGGCTAGATACATGATACAAAATTATCAAGATGCCATGGCTATTTGTCGATGGATTGGGTACCCGAATCTGTTTATTACATTTACATGTAATCCAAAGTGGCCAGAGATTCAGCGATACATAAAGAAACGAGGATTAAATGCTGAGGATAGACCCGACATAGTTTGTCGAATTTTTAAAATAAAACTGGATTCCCTTATTAGGGAGATAAGGGTTGGTCAATTATTTGGGGAAGTTAGATCAGGTTAGTGAGTATTAATATTTATCCTTAGTTTGTACATATACTATTTCAATAAGATATTGCATAGTAACATTTTTTTTTCTTTTTACAGTGATATATACTATTGAATTTCAAAAGAGAGGGTTGCCCCATGCCCATATTCTACTGTTTTTGTTAAGACAATGTGTTGAATTATCCACGACTTACATGGATGACATTATCTCAGCTGAGATCCCCGACAAAGATTGGGATATCAAATACTTTAATGCAGTTGAGGAATTCATGATTCATGGGCCTTGTGGTGCTGCAAATAAGAAGTCTCCATGCATGGCAAACGGAAAATGTTCAAAGCATTTTCCCAAAACATTTGTAGAATCTTCTTCCTTAGATGATGATGGTTACCCAAAGTATAGGAGACGTGATGATGGTCGAACAGTAGTGAAAAATGGTACGCAGTTGGATAATCAATATGTAGTCCCACATAACAGGTACCTTCTTCTTAAATACAATGCACACATCAATGTTGAGTGGTGTAACCAATCAAGGTCTATCAAATACCTTTTCAAGTATGTGAACAAGGGAAACGATAGAGTGACTGCTGAGTTTTATAAAAGTACAGTGGATGAAAATTCTAATGAGGTTATAGATGAGATAGGCATGTACTATGATTGTCGTTATGTTTCTGCATGTGAGGCCACATGGCGATTGTTCAGTTTTGACGTCCAATTTCGAACGCCATCTGTGGAGAGATTGAGTTTTCATCTGCCAAACTGTCAGTCAGTGATTTTTGAGGATGACGATAGTATTGAACGAGTGTTAAGTCGTCCAACCGTAGCTCAGAGCATGTTTACTGCTTGGTTTGAAGCTAACAAGAAATACCCAGATGCAAGACTTTTAACGTACATTGACATGCCAAATAAGTTTGTTTGGAAAAAGAATGTTCGTGAATGGCATCCAAGGAAGAGGGGCTTTTCCATTGGTCGTATATTTTATGTCCCACCAGGAAGTGGCGAAATATATTACTTAAGGTGCCTTTTGAACATTGTACGTGGTCCTACCAGTTTTGAAGACATCAAGACATTTAATGGTGTAAGTCACTTGACGTTCAAGGATGCATGTTATGCCCGCGGTTTGCTAGATGATGATAAGGAATATATTGATGCAATCAATGAGGCAAGCCATTGGTCGTCCGGGCACTCAATGAGAAAACTTTTTGTTATATTGCTAACATCAAGTTCAATAGTAAGGCCAGAATCAGTCTGGGGTGCTACATGGCAACACCTTTCTGAAGATGCAGAATTCTACCATAGGCGAATAGCTGGAAATCAAGGTTTCTTATCACTTATGTTTTAAAATATTATTCATTTTGCAAAATAGTATAAGTTAATTTGTCTCACATTAATATTAATTATTACAGACTTGAGTTTGACTGAAGATTCGAAGAAAAATTATGCTTTGATGGAAATAGAAAAATTGTTACAAGTCTATAATAAGTCTTTAAAAGACTTCCCACCAATGCCATTACCCAACTTGGCTGATATATCATTACTTAGTAATAGATTGTTGTTAGAAGAATTGTCATATGATCGTGAAGCTCTATCTAAAGAGAGTGAGATGTTAACTTCGAAATTCACAGATGAACAAAGGGTTGTATATGACACGATCATGGGAGATGTTCAAAATAATAATGGTGGTTTATTCTTCGTATATGGTTACGGTGGTACCGGAAAAACCTTTCTTTGGAGGGCGTTATCAGCATCATTGCGATCTAGAGGTGATATTGTGATTAATGTAGCTTCAAGTGGTATCGCTTCCTTGCTTCTACCTGGTGGTCGGACTGCACATTCAAGATTTTCAATACCCATATCAGTAAATGAGGATTCAACATGTAACATAAAACATGGTAGTCATCTTGCTGAATTGGTTATAAAGACAAAGCTAATAATATGGGATGAGGCTCCTATGATGCACAAACATTGTTTTGAAGCTCTTGATAGGACGATGAGGGACTTGCTTAGATTCAACAATCCTTTAAGTGCTGACAAAACATTTGGTGGAAAGACAGTTGTATTTGGTGGAGACTTTAGACAAATACTGCCTGTGATTCCAATAGGCACAAGGCAAGATATTGTTGGCGCAACTATAAATTCTTCATATTTGTGGGATAATTGTATAGTTTTGCGATTGACAAAGAATCTTCGTCTCAATAGAATAGAAGCTGGTGCGGATCAGTCTGAAGTTGAGCAGTTTGCTAATTGGATTGCTTCTATCGGTGATGGAAAAATTGGTGGTCCAAATGATGGCTATGCAGATGTTGATATTCCGCATGATTTGTTACTACAGTGTGACGGTGATCCGATCAAGACGATTGTTGATTGTATATTTCCAGGGTTTCTGAACGGTAGTTGTAATCACAACTATATGCAAAGTCGTGCCGTACTAGCACCAACGCTAGATGTTGTCAACGCAATAAATGAATATATGAGTGAATTGCATATAGCTGAGTGTAAAACATACTTCAGTTGCGACACTGTATGTAAATCAGATTCAGTTAGCGGTATATTGGGAGATGTTCACACCCCAGAGTTTCTCAACGGGTTGCGAGCATCTGGGATCCCCAACCATGCATTAACATTGAAAGTTGGATCACCTGTAATGTTGTTGAGAAATATAGATCACTCATTAGGCTTATGTAATGGTACAAGATTGGTTATTACAAGATTGTCCGAACATGTTATCGAGGCCAAAATTTTGACGGGTGACAATGCCGGTAGTTCGGTCTTGATACCTAGAATGTCTATGACTCCATCAGATACAAGATTGCCTTTCAAATTTCAAAGAAGACAGTTCCCAGTAATGTTGTCATATGCCATGACAATAAATAAGAGTCAAGGTCAGACACTATCGCATGTTGGGTTGCTATTGAAGAAACCAGTGTTTGTACACGGACAATTGTATGTGGCAGCGTCTAGAGTTAGCAATCCTAAGGGCCTGAAAATTTTAATTTGTGATGATCATAATAAGAATTGTACTTCAACAACAAATGTTGTTTACCATGAAGTTTTTAATAATTGTTAAATAAATTGATAATTTGGTATGTCCAAGTTTTTTTTGTTGTTGGACTTGCAATTTTGTATTATGAACTATTTTGATGTTATATTTGTAGTTTATTATGACAATGAACAATCGTATTATGCATTACAATATAATACAATTCAAAATTAAAATGCAATTTTTATATCGTGCATCGCACGGGTACAATGCTAGTAATAATAATAATAATAATAATAATAAAAAGAAGAAGAAGAAGAAACTGGCTTTGAAGAGGGGGGTGGCGTTGGTAATAATAATAATAATAATAATAATAATAATAATAATAATAATAATAATAATAATAATAATAAAATAAAAGAAGAAGAAGAAGCTGGCTTTGAAGAGGGGGGTGGCGTTGGTAATAATAATAATAATAATCTCTAAAAAAAAAATTAATGAAGGAACAAGCTAGCAATGAAGAGGCACACATCAGATTTGAAGACTGAAGAGAGAGGCGTCAAATTGGCTTCGCGCGAATTCGATCCTACGACCTAAAGCACTGTTCACGCGTGCTTATCCATTTCTCCATTTGGAGAAGTTGGTTTTCTATTTCTCCAAATTCCTTAAGAAAAGTGGAGAATGGAGATGGAATAAGAATTTGGAAAGAGAATTTTGGTAAACAAGTTTTCCATTTTCCATTCTTCCACCTCTCCAATTCTCTGTTTTTCCAGAAAATCCTCTATTTTTCCATTTTGGTAAACGACCCCTTAGAGTTGAGGTCTTGAATGTTGCATTTCAACTATTTATATTTGTAAGGAAAAAGTTTAGTGAAATTCTAATATTATAGAGTACATAAAAGTTAATAAGTTTTTGAATTTTGGATCAAATACCGACAAACTTTTAAAAAGTCTTTAAAAATTTAGATCGAATACAATTAAATGTTTAAAGTCGGATGTGATTGTGATTTATATTCGAAATATATACCGTAATAAATAATTTTTTAGAAAAGCAGTAATAAAATTACAAAAAATTTCACAAAACATAAATTGAACAGAATTAATATACAAATCAACTCAATAATCTACCAAAACGTCAATTTTAATTAAATATACAATTAGAAAAAAAAAATTCCAAAACTATAAACCCCAAAAAAATGTTCAATAAGCCCAAGCATTCTGCCTCAAGATCTCCTCCTCTTCCTCCGGCGTGAAGTCGTTCTTGATATTAAAAATCTTTCTAATATCCTCCGCGGTTTTGCCTTTGATCATGTCCGCAACTCTCTGGGCCATTAACTCCAACAAGTCTCTTATCTCCAGATAGTCCGCCGCCGTGAGAAGATCGTAAAGCTCCGCCTGATCCACCTCCACAAACTTCTTGTCGAACTCCTTCTTCTCGGCATTGCTTTTGCCGGCGGCGGCGGCGTGCACTTTGCAGTACTCGAGAATCTTCGCCAGCGTATTTCCGTCGACTTTGAGTAATGGGATGACAGAGTCTTCTCCCAAGCCGCCGGCATCCTCCACCACGAACTTGAGTGTCTGTGACAGCGCCGCCACGGACTCCGCCACCTCGAATTCCTCGCCGTCGTTGGCTCTCAGTCTCACCATCTTCTCGCAGTCGTTGATGTCCGAAGAAGACATGATGGCAGTGAAGAAATTGGAGAATTTGGGTCTCAAAGTTTAATTTCGCGCGCGAACTGATAAGGAGAATTGTAGGGATTGGGTAGGAGGGGAGCAGATGGTATTAATATAGGCACTCAATTATGTTTAAACAATCCTAATTCTATACAGTTTCGATCATATATTCATAGTTGAGGTCTGATTAGATTTTCTAATATGATAAGGATTAAACAATATTAAGTTACTTTTTTATTTTATATTTTAAAAATTACTTCTTCTTTTTTTATTACAAAATTAAATAATAACTTAACATAGTTTCATTCTATTTAATTCATTAATTATAAATTTATCTACTCCGTATTATATTATATTTCGCGTTCAACCTAATTCGGACATATTAATTATGATATAAAAAATACCAATGGTATTACTTTATATAAAATTATATAAGTGATGATAATGCTTTTTGTAAAAAGGGAACTCTGCATACATGAACAAATTTTATGCTTGTGTAATAGTTCCAAGCATAAATTGCAATAAGATGATGAACTCGATTGAGAGAGTGTTGATAATAATCAACCACATGACCTTATAATATGAGAATTTTGCTCCACCCATTCACCACCCATTTTAGGATTATTTTTTCTTTAATTTACTGTAGCTTGTTGCTATTATATATATATATATATATATATATATATATATATATATATATTTCTTTCTTTTTTTTGTCTCAATACTTTTTACAAGTAGACCTAAAGCCCAATTTTATAGGTAATTCAAACAATTTTATTTCTAATAACTATACTTTAAAGATATGAAATGAAATCTTTACTTTACTTTATTTTACTTTTTAAAATTTTATAAATATCATGTTATATGGGAAATTGTCTAAATTCAATAACCCAACCACGAAGCCCATCCAAGTTTAGTTTGACTAATCCAACACCTCGTGGCAAACAACCTTATTGCTAAAATAGTAGGAAATTAGGAATCTCTATAGTAACTGATGGATAATTACGAAACGGATCCGGAGCGGAATAATATGGAGCGGATCGAATCCGAGGCACGGACCCAAACCTAGGCCGAGGTCGGCCAAGCAAACTATGACCGGGGTTGGCCATGGCCCTCATGGTCGGCCGACCTCCTTGCTCGGCCAAGGGGCAGGGTCGTCTCCGCGTTGTCCGGGTCCCACGGTGTGTGTTGCGGTCCAAGATGGTTGAGGCGACTCCCACCACTTCCTCCGGAGTTGTTATGGCGAAGTTGGGTATAAAACCCTTCATTCATGTCCTATCGAGACACAATCTGTCCCAATCCCGTACTTTGTCTTGTTATTACATAATTCTTACCTTTGTAATAGCATTTTATACGCAATTAATACAATATTTGTCAAAGTGACTTATATTCGTACATATTTCGTCCCGTTATTGCATTCATATTCAACTTTTACTCGTTTAATCATATACTTGTCACATTCCTCTATTTATTCGGGTTAATTAATTCGGACCTCCCGAGTTAATATAATCCATCATTGGTGCTTTCATTGAGCTACACGAGCCCCGGGTTAATACAATGTGGAGCAAACATACCAAATGAACGTACCATCCATACCAATCAAATTCTTCACTCTTACTAGTTGTAAACTTGTGATAAAAAAAAATGTGGAATCGACCACTCCAGATGTTTTTCACACCCTATTTGAGCGATTGCTTCCATATTACTATTGGTGAGACTTGATCATTAGTCTCTTTATGAGTTTTTTCCCTTTTTAAATTGTTTTCTAATTTAAGAGTCAATGACAAATTCTATTCAACTTGCTTCATATATTTTAAAATCAATGAATTTTGCATCCTTTCGTGTTAATACGTGTTGATCATATAACCATTAATGTGCAATCCAACTATCAACTTAGGCTTTTAGTTGAGATGTAGCACATGCTTCAATTTGGCATCAGAGCCAGACCAATATTCTCATATCAGAAAATCACAAGTTCAATTATTGCCAACACCCTCTCAGTCAAGCTTGTCGCATAAGATCTTCTTAGTACAATTTACATATATATATATATTGTGTTATTTGCGAGCTATTACATAGAACTTTAATTTACCTAATACACTATCAGATAATAACTATGAATTTTTCTCGTCATCCAAAAAGAATCTAATGGTAACTAATGATCAAATCTAAGTTTGAATTTTTCAAAATTTAAGATATTTGGACTTTCTCGTTATCTTTTTTTTTTTTTTTTTAAATATAGTCAGCAAAAGTGAGATATTTGTTGGACTTTCTCCCCCGTTGTTCTTAAAAGATGTAGTAAAAAAAAAGTGGAATTTATTAAATACTACGAACATCGAAAATTTAAAATACAATTCACAATTATATTACAATAAACCATTTAAACGTAAAAAAATAAAGTCATCCCCCAATATATCCTTAAAAGTGAGAATTAGTTTTATTAATAAGGACATTGTGGTCTAGTGGCACCATAAGAAGTTGTTAGTTGAGTGACTTGAGTCTCAATAGAGACGGTATTGACTCTTTGTGTTTCAATAGGTTAAGTAAGTAGGGACTTTGTGGTCTAGTGTCACTAAAATCTTATACATTGTGTACACAATGTATGCTTCTTTTTCATTAAAACTTGAACTCATGACCTCCTATATGAGAGAATCACTTCGTGTCACTAGATCAAAGGTCATTGATTTATATTTCTTGTTTGTTCGCGGTGTATTAATTATTTCTATTAATGTTTTTTATCTATATATTCACTAATTTTTTCATTGTGTCTTTATTCAAATCTTGCAAAGCATGATGTATAACAACTTTTCTTTATAAATAGGTAGGGAGGATAGAATTTCGACATCGGCTGTGTGGGGATTATGCTTAAAGTAGATAGATTCCTTATGTGCACCGATATTTGACTCGGTCTGTTGAGTTATTGAATTACCGTGATTTATATATTCTCAAAGACTCTGTCGAGCCGAGTTGTGAGGGCTCTTGAGATTAGGGATTCAACCTTTTGAGAGAAGGTAGGGAGGATATAAGCCTCCACTATTAATCAATAAAAACATGACACATTTTTACGTATTTTTCTTTTATGTGTGATTTGCATGTTATTATACAAGAGTAATATTTACTTGTCAGTGTACATCTTTAAATAGTGATAATAAATTTCTAAGAAAAAGATTGACACGTCAAACAAAATTTTCGACCTTGTAATAAATTTTTTTCATTAATTAAAATAGAAATAGAACGCGTCAATAGGTGGAACTCCCGCCATCGCGCTATGACATTTTCAATTTGTTTACAAGTGAAGTCAAATTTTGGTGGGGCCCCAAAGAAAAGCTTTCATTTTTCTTCAAGTCTAAAAAGAGACATCTTCTCTCAATTCCCACTCAATATGTCATGTAGTCACTGCCAAATGCACAGCTA